CTAATTTGTTACGAGTAGGTGGGCTTACTATATTAAATCTTGCCCTATACTAATAAGACATGACGGAGTAAATTAGACTATTAGAGAGGATCTTGCTAAATGCAAATAAAGGATGCTAGAGAAAAGAAAATACAAACAAAATAAAAGGGTGGATATGAGACGTATAAATTTTTGACACAGACAGATTCTGGACGATTTTGTGGCGTATAAGCTATCGGGACTCTTCCATGAGGGCAATTTTGAACACAAAATGCATAGGAGTCAATTTCAAGACGATGCACAGGATAGCCGAAGCAACAACAAAGTTTTATTTTACTATTTGGGTTGTTAACGCCATTAAACTTCATTCAAGACCAAATATTTAGATATGTTGTTAATTAATAGATTTTAGCATTCTCTTTAACCTTCACCTGTATTTTTTAGAGAATTCCATACCATTCGATCAACCATTCCCATTAGCAGATTCAAAGATTTTCTTTACACGTGACCAAACCATCTTAAATGGTTTTTAACCTTTTTCTTATTGACAGCAGCCATTCCAAATTTTTTTTGTATATATTCATTACGAATTTTATCTTTTTTTGTATGACTATATATCCATCTTGACATTCTTATCTCAACTACCTTCACTTTATGTTTATGCAAACTGTCATAAAGTCTAATACTCACTACCATATAACATTGTTAGTTTTATAATAATACAATAAAACTTTCTTTTAATATTATTAGGTGCAACAAATTAGTGAAAATGGAAGTATTCCTTTGATGACACGCATCTATTAACTGTTATCTGTCAGATTAATAAGCGCAGCCCCGTCCACTTTGAAAAATGAACAAATCGATCTACTTTAGTACATGATCAGGGCCCTCGGCAAAACACATGGATCCTGAATCAGACTTTTATGCATTTGTCAACATATCTTCAGCCTTTTACCGATTTTGTGTCACCTTGAAGGCCAGTTAGCTTGGCGATTTTAGTTAGCTAGCATATGACCACCAAAGGTGGCTTCCAAGGTCAACAGAAGCGTGGATATACCAAGTTTTGTGATTTTATATAAATTCCCTTTTGGAATTCAGTTTAACATAAATTCCCCCTTTCTGATATCCCATTATAGATCAAAATTACCGGAGGCGAAGATTGTCGAAACTGTAACTTTCAACACGTGTTCATGGCCAGTTGAGACCATGAGTCACCACCAACGCAAGCCATAGTCTCCTCTAATTATTATCGAGGCATTCATATTGTTACCTTGCGAAAACAACAAATCAAACTGAAATAAGACATTGGTGAAGGATTACTGCAAAAACATTGCGAAGACATGTTGCTTTATTCTTGCAAAACCAATGCGCCCTTGTGTACATGCCATAAGAAGCTCAACAACAAAGTTTAGGAGAAAACAAATCGCACCGTCTGCAGATATGCAAAAGCATAACTTTAAACAGACAATTACATGGGCTGTTTCTATGCTCTCTGTTCAACATATGAACCTGCAAGTCCAGAAGTTCCAAGAACAGAAACCTGCAAATGAAAAGCCTGTATTAGACGGATAATTGGAATCTGTAGTCGTTCATAATACAGAAGACTGATTACATATATCTATTCAAAAATAAATGAAGAGGGACCAAAGTGATGATGATAAGACTCAGCTAAACTGCCTAAACATATTTCAAGGGGGGAAAAAAATGAAAAACTATCAATCTTGTAGTAGTGCCCAGTGCCCACTAACTTGGAAATATCATCACAAGTGCAATAGTGTACATTCAGAGGGCAAGAAATGAAGATACCTTTCCCCACTCAGAACCAAGGCCGCCGCACCTCATTTTCAAGTGGATCATCTTTGTGCCCAGTTCCATCTCCACCTTCTTCCGTAGATAGTTTTCATCCGGCCCAAACGAACTCAAATAAGTGTTGTAACGATCAAAAACAGTTTTAAGCGCATTCTTTATATGATCAGGTGCGGGCTTTGCATCCTAAAATGATCATTAAAATTTCAGACTATCACCATGGGAGAAGGGAAAGTTAATGCAATTATGTGTAACGTTGCAGGAAAATGAACATTTACATACCTCGCCGCTTAACCCAATGCTGTCGTCAATTTCCATTTTTAGGGTCACTAGTATCCCACTAAACTCTTCAATGGCTTCTGCAGCACGGAAGACATTTTCAACTATTTCCTTGCCAGCTTTGTCATCAGTATTTCCAGTTAATGCCGTCTTCACATCATAAATGACAGCATGGGGGAGCTCATCCCAATTTGCTGCCATCAAATCCTTGAAAGCATTTTGTAGCTTAGGGTCTTGAATTTCAGGCAAGTGGGTTACATGCTCACTATAAAATCGTACACTTCCCAAGCCTGTTGAGAGAGGAGACCTGCTTTCTGCAGATGTTTTCACAGATATCTAATTCAGCGTATAATAGCCACCTCTGAGTTTACCAATAAATCTGCAAGTCACATGCATGCAGATGCCAGGTTTTATAGCTATGATTTCACTCCCTAACATACTTCTTTAAAACAGCTGGTTCAATGTCCACCCTCACATTACCAATAACACAGATGATAATGTACTTTGTTCAGCACAACCGCAAAAGCAAGCTCATTAGCTGGAAGAATGGGTAAAGTTTCCCGCTGCAAAACCTACTAGTTATAATTTTAGGGCCGACAGCCTATTAGGGACAATTCCCTGAAGAAGTCGCAGAAAGAAACTGCCGACAAGTTGCTTTGGATAATAGCATAATCAGATTAAAAACCTAGAAAGTCAAAACAGAATTCCTACTTCATTAGAAAAAGGAAGAATGCAAACTTCTTTCCGACCGTAAGAAATTGGAATGATCGTTTACTCTCTCTCTCCTCCTTCTTCAAAAGCAATCTAGATCCATACAGTCTTATATGAAAAGCTTCAATTCTGGAATTATATGACAAGGTCATAGAAACAAGAAGCCATCCTACTCATGGTGCGAAGTATAATTGCATGACATGACTGTGTGAGGAAATCATAAATGTTATTCTAAAAAAGAGATATATATATATATATATATATATATATATAAAATGTGAATTTTAAGATGTTATTCATTTGTAAGCACCACGTTAGGATATTAAGTAACCAATCAGATATCATCACGCAGTGTGAAGGAAGCCAGAATCATTTTTCCTCATAAGAAATCCAATTGATTAAAAGGGAATATATATATGGCTGATCGAATCCCTCCTGCGATGAAAAATGTAATTTTGTGGACAAATTTCATCTTCAATAACTTCTTTTTAGAAAGAGGAATACCGTCCTACGAGTGGACTTGAGTCTATTCCAAAACAACATTTCTGCAAGAGCTGTAGAATATTAAAAAAAAAAACAACGAAAAGAAGTGCATAGAAATAAAAATACTGAACGATGAAGAGAGTACCTGTAGGGAGACGATCGGCAGAAGAAGATACATGAGAGGGAGATAGGTTAAAAAGGGTACGAGCAGCCAAATAGTCGCGGGAGTGAGTATGGCTGGTGCGTAGAATATGGTTATTGTTGGCAGATAAACGATAAGATCTGGAAGCCAGTGATCGGAAAAGTGATCTAAGAGCCGCCCCTTTCCCCATCTTTCTTTCCACTTCGCAATCCGATGGAAGTGCGAGGGCTGATTGTGAACAGTAAACCGAGCAGCGTCCCGTTTACTTTTCCGAGTTTCTCTGCAACATGGAAGTTCCCTAATTATTTTGGTAACATTTTTAAATGAGTAAAACTGGCCAAAAAAAAACTACCGAAATAAAAAAATTGTAAATAAACCTATGATAATATTAATATAGATTTTGATAATAATAGTATAAATTTTGATAACAATTATTATAAACCAGTCTGTGTATGTAATTTTTCTGTTTTAGAGGTCTTTTTTGCGATTTTTTTTTAAAATAATGCCTTTAAAAAATTCCAATAATTATTTTTGTATTAAAAACTATGAAACATCTTAAAAGAAAACTCAAATAATAAGTGCGGTATAACATTTAAATTTCAGAAGAAGTAGTGTTAAAAAAGTAACCCATTAAATTATATATATAAAAAAAAAAGTAACCAATTAAATTAAAAATTATACTAAATATAAAATAATAAATAAATAGCCCCGGCAAGGGGCAAGTGAGCTTGGGTTGGATCAGCCTTTCGGGCTAGTCAAACTTAAGTCCGGGGCCCAAAATGTGATCTTATGTATTGTTTCTTTGGATCACATTTTTATTGAACGATGTTTTGCCCTCCAACCCATTTTATTGCTTCTGCACTGCGTGGCGTTGCACCTTCACGGATCTCATTATCCTTTTTTTTTTGGGACCAAATCACGGATCTCATTTTCGCATCCTCAAGGGTCTACACATTTATACCCCCTCCTAGTGTATTCCATGAAGCTACTATGTTATGGCTCTTTTTTTTTCCCAAAATATCATATTATCACTATAAAATTTACATTAAACAAAGTGCATGGTTTGTTTCTGGAACAGAAACGCGAGGCACCCAAGTGCGAAGGTAATTATTTATTAAGAACAATGCACGTGCAGTGGTCAAAATATTAATAAAGACTAGGATGCAGCATAAAGGGTCGGAGCAGAGCGAGGGATATGGGCCGGGCCCGACACATCCAAACAATTCGCATGGAATGTCTCAGAGGGTCTGTGGGCCTATATGGCCTTTAATTTCTTGTTTCTTTGACAGTGGCTCTTCCTTTTCTTTCTTTCTGTTTTTTTTTATTTAAATTTTTTTTGCCCGGTACAATACGGTGGCTCTTGCTGAGTGCTAGCTGCAAAGAGAGCTGATTATCTTCGTAGCCGCAGAAAAACGATTTCATGATACGAAAAGATCGCCACATTACGAGTGAATATAGCATAGCAGCACATGATGAGTCGGTTTTACTTTCACTCTTGCTCATCCGCTCGATCATCATCGTCTTGCACGCTAACATTATCCACTCCACGGCCTCACGAAGTAGCTAGAGGACGACAATCCCTCCTGACGTTACTCCAACTCTCCAACCTCATCTCTGGACCCTCTTTCTCTCGCCATGGACTCTAGCTCTTCCGCTTCTCCTCATCCCGACGTTGTTTCCCAATTCACCGGATCCCTCCTTGTTGAGAGGTTCCGAGGCACCGATTTTGTTCCCCCCTCCTCAAACACTGTCGTCTCCTCCAAGGACGTCACCCTCCTCCCTCAATCCAACATCTCTGCCCGTCTATTCCTCCCCCAACACACTCCCCGCAACCGCAAGCTCCCTCTCTTGCTCTACTTCCACGGCGGCGGTTTCCTTGTCTCCTCCCCTTTCAATTCCCTCCACCACAACTACGTTTCCACTCTAGTCGCCAATGCCAACATCGTCGCCGTTTCCATCGACTACAGCCTGGCCCCAGAGCACCCCATCCCCGCCGCTTACGAAGATTCCTGGGCTGCGCTTCACTGGGTCGCATCCCATCGAAAGAGTCCTGGACCCGAGCCTTGGTTAAATGAGCACGCAGATTTCAGGAGAGTTTTCCTGGCTGGGGACAGCGTTGGCGCTAACATAGTTCATAATCTCGCAATGGCAGCGGGAAATCCCGACAACGAGCTCGACCTCGAGATTCTGGGCGCGGCATTAGTCCACCCATTCTTCTGGGGTTCGCATCCCACCGGGTCGGAGGCGATGGATCCGGAGAGAAAGGCGTCGGTGGATCGATTATGGCCATATGTTTGCCCATCCACGCCGGACCAGGACGACCCGCGGCTTAATCCGGTGGCGGAAGAATCCCCCAGCTTGGCGTGGTTGGGTTGTGGAAGAGTGTTAGTGTGCGTGGCGGAGAAGGACATACTGAAGGAGAGGGGGTGGCTCTACTATAACGCATTGAGTCAGAGCGGTTGGCTTGGGGTGGTGGAGATCCGTGAGACTCAAGAGGAGGACCACTGTTTCCATTTGGAAGATCTGGGCAGCAACAGGGCCCAAGATTTGATCCAAGGCCTGGCCGACTTCTTCAACAGAGATATGCCTCCTTTACTTTAACTTGCAACAATTTCTTGCACCAAGAAAAGAAAATCTGGCAATAATTTCATTCATACTTCTTTACGCTCTTGTCGGTCGCCGCGGAAAATAAGCGTATAATATGGATTACTAGTCAGACCACCTTCTCCGCCAATGGGTGCTTGTGTCGTCGTCCAGCTCAAAGTTCAAAGGCACTGCTTTTCCTGTGGGCCTACCTTGGATCAGAGGAAAGGCACGCGGCAGGGGCGCTGTGATTTCCATCCGTTAAACAACTATTTCCATTGATTAAACAAATAATTAACCAAATCTGGCTGCCCTGCTTGATCATTTGAATAATTTTTAATACGGTTCGTGCATAATCATTCAAGCGCAATGCATTTCACTTTGCTTCCACGCACGGTTCTTATTTGTTGTTTTCCAACTTGATATCTCAGTCGTCTGTCTGCTCAATCAACGCTTTCTGTTATTTTCAGCTGCATTTTGTTGATACAAGGACATATAAAATTCTTTTGTTCCCCCCACGTTCCATTTTTTTACTAACACTAACAACGTTGTCACAGAAATAATAAAACATACTGTATTAAAGAACAAAAAAGCCGTGCTTCTAAACTGCCTGCTTCAGATTAGAACCGCAGCTACTAAAAATTGTTCCCCTTGAATAATTCACGGAATATAGCCTGGAAATTCCCCATTTTCTAAATTTCCGCTATTGTCTAAATAAAGTAATCAAATTTACCCTTTTTCTCGATATTTTATTAAATTTGCAGAAGTAAGCGATAGTTCTTCTTTTTTTGGGAACAACGATGTAATTGATAGTTTTTTCTATTTTGACCTGAATTTAATAAATAGCTCACCAATGACGACCTCAGACCTCAAGTTATGTCATATTTTTAATTAAGTTATTGGTAAATCAACGCTCAAGATAGCAACTGCAAAATAAAATACCGCTCGTCCACTCAATAAGGAAAGGGGGAAAAAGAACTATTGCTAGTCATAACTGGCACAGCTCACAGGCACGGCAAGAAGGCGCAACCAAATCCTAGCCATCCATAAAGCCACTGACGTCTTTTGAAGAGTGGGAAATCTAAGACATAAAGTGCTTTCCTATCGCCGCTCCCGGCTTCGGCTTTCTGTTTTTGTCTCTCTCGTCCAGACTCCACACTCCCGTCTCCCGAATGGATTCAGGCAACCCAGAAATGTCGATCGAGGTTCCTCCTTACCTTCGAGTACGCAAGGACGGGAGCGTCGAGAGATTAGCCGGCACCCAAGTTGCCCCTCCGGGCTTGGATCCTGTCACCAATGTTATATCCAAAGACATCCTCATCATACCCGAAACCGGCTTGACAGCCAGGCTTTATCGTTCCAACTCCGTCGCCAAAACTCCTCAGAAGCTTCCTTTACTGCTCTACTATCATGGCGGCGCCTTTTGCATTTCTTCGACCTCCGATCCCTTTTACCATAACTCCCTCAACAACCTCGTGGCGGAGGCTAACCTTGTTGCTGTGTCTGTCAACTATAGATTGGCGCCAGAGCATCCTCTTCCAGCGGCATATGAAGACTCCTGGGATGCGCTTCGGTGGGTAGCGTCTCACGCCACAGAAGACCGTGAAGACCACGAAAGCTGGCTCAAGAACAACGTTGATTTTGACAGGGTGTTATTGGGAGGTGATAGCGCGGGCGCCAATATTACGCACTTCCTGGCCTTAAGGTTGCATGCCTCGGACCCTGTTCCTACAGAGTATTTCAAGGTTTCTGGTCTCGTTATGGTGAATCCTTATTTCTGGGGGAAGGAGCCGATTGGAGTGGAGATTACTGATACAACAAGGAGGGAAATGGTGAACAAGTGGTGGGATTTTGTGTGTCCATCGGAGAAAGGGAATGATGATCCGCTGATTAACCCGTTTGTGGAGGAAGCTCCGGCTTTGGAGAGGTTGGGTTGCAGTAGGGTGCTGGTCACAGTGGCGGAGAGAGACATATTGGCGGAAAGAGGGAAGCTTTATTATAAAAAATTGTTGAACAGCGGATGGAAGGGAAGGGCGGAGCTCTATGAGACTAAGGGGGAGGATCACGTGTTCCATATCTTCAACCCTAATAGCGACAAGGCCAAGAGCTTAATTAAACGCCTTGCTTCATTCATTAATGAACAATGAAGCTCCTCACCCGAAGCCAACTCTCTGCGAGGACCCCCGTCTTAAGGTCCCTAAATATAATAAAGGTCACCCCCAGTTCACCGGTTAATTCCAAATTTCGTCTTCTGGCTTTTAACGTCAGACCACACAGCTTGTCTTTACTTTACGTCCTTCCAATTGTTGGTCCGTAACCTTCCTTGTTATGTTCTTTTAGGCCATGTTCCATGCACTATCATCCTTCGTTTTCCAGCCGTGCTACAAGTTCTATGCCAGAGTTGCAGTTTTGAAATTTAACTTTTCAACCGAGTTTGTATAAGTTTGTTCGCAAGTAAACTTTCGTGGTGTTTTAGTTTAAAGTTTGAACTGTTGATCCACAAAAATGAACAGAGTAGTGCCGGATGATGAGATTCTGCAAGACTGCAAGTCACGTGTTTCTGTACATATTTGTGGGGCGTGCACCCTCAAGATAACTTGCCGAGAAATCCAATCTCTTGGAAAAAAAGTTCAGGCCAAAAAGAAAAGAATGATCAACATACTCAGGAAGGAAAAAAAAAAAAAAGGGGGAAAAAACGTAATATCTCTTGGCAGAAAAATTGAAACTTGAAAGGACCCGTGAAACGAATAAACGACTGCTGAACATGATCAGCAAGGTCATTGTATAGCGCTAACTCTAAAATACAACGGTATCTAGTTTCCCAAAGTTTGAACTTAGAAGACATCAAATTGGAAACGTGCTCCTTAAGGTGCTTCTTGTCATCTTGCCTGCTCACATCAGCAATTGCAATTTGCAAGCTTTTCCGGCGAAAGTTCATCCTCTTCTTGCACTGCCTTGTTGTACTTGATGGCTAAATTCACCATCTCCTGCATTACACAAAAACATCAAAAAGGATAATTAGCAACCATGGGTAGAAAAATAACTGGGAATAACAAAAATTATACCCAGCTTCAACTAATATTAAAAGATTCCAATGAATGAAAAAAAAAAATCTACGATATGCATAGAGTGATCAAGCCTATATTTGCCTCAGTGTAGTTCTCAAGCATGCGCTCACAATCAAAATGAGAAAAAGTAAAAGAAACAGGGAAAAGGGTCGGAGCAGGGAGAAGAGCAAAATGAATCAGAAAGAAAAGCACACGTTTATCTCTACAACCAATTTCAAATAAATATCAACTGGCCCGGATGGTCTGTTCATTAGTTTTAGAATGTGAACCAGAACGCCTGAGCGTCCAACCATCAGTCCATTTCTTATTATAAAGAATTAGCAACCTCCTATCTTCAAGCCCATTTTTCCTGTAATTGATTACTGTGGAATAATAATGTCGGTTCAAGCCATGGAGCAAAGCCTCGAAATGGAAATAATAAGTCACTAGAGAGTCAAAGATTAACAAGCGAATTGCTATTGAAGAGTTTTTGCATATAACTCACTTGTGTGGATGGCTTATTAGGATGACTGAGGTTAGATGTTGCTTGCCATGGTTCCTGACGCATCACCATAGTTTGTGGATTGATAAGCCTAAAAGCATCAATCACTATCTTGCCTTAACACACTGAACAGGATCAACCACCACATCCACAACACGTTGATTTAAAGCCTCAAAACTCTGTATTAGATAAAGCATGGAAACAGATTGTGCATGAGTTTCTGAAAACAGCAAAGCTATACTGAGAGTTTTCATATCCTAGTTTGCTAAATATGTCAATTGTCCCCAGAAATTATATTTATGTTTCGTTCTTGTAGCTTATTTACAAGTATAGCCTTATTTGTCCATCAAAATTATATACGTTAAGTTGCTTTAAAATTCAAATACAACAATTCATTCCATTACATAAGAGTCGTCCATATAATACATGTATGGAAAAATAAGTCATAACCCGTTGTGTATTTATGCCCACTCCAGAAAGCCAACAACCAGATCCAGGATGGAAATAATACCACCCCACAACCATCTATGGTCTACAACAAAGTGCTAGTTTAATTAATTGGTGTGACTAGACTGGCATCTAGTACGATACATGTATAGAACAGGAGTAAAAAGCGAATGTTCACTCATAAATGTTGCCACCACTTTAATTGATGGGTTTTGAAATAAAGGGCAAGATTCAACAATGTTATGTAGCAAATATCTTTCTGTGTTGTTGGCTAGAAGTTCAAGCCTAATTCTTCAATGTTAAGGGTAAGGATGAGCGAAAAATTATGAAGGGAGATTGAAACAGAAGAAATGCTTAAAAATAATTCAGGGCAGGTAGCCAGTAATTGATCTGGTCTATGCCAAAACTTCCCGAAACAAAAATGAAGTGCAAAATTGTCGCAACAACAAATTCAAAGGCTCATAAATTAACATAAAAGTTTCAAGAAATCAAAGGAAAACAAAAATACCTTCCGGTCTGCTTCAGCATATCGAGCATGTTAGTCGGAAAAACATGATCCACAGCTTCAACACTAACACCGGTTCCACTCTGTGGCATCGCAAAAACATCTACGACGCGGACAGCGTACTCATCCAGACTCTACCAGCATCAAGCCCATCACTTCCACGGGAACACCAGCCCTTCCTGTAATTTTCATTGCAGCCAAAGAAGGCAACAAAAGTGAAACTGTCGCAGATCGATTCAAGAGATCGTATGAACAGAAATTAAATAAAAGTAACCGATCATATATGCTCCCACCTAGGGTTTCAAATCGGTAACATATATTAACAAACAAAAAACTTGGACCCCGAACTTGACTGGCATTGAAAAAAGAAACTGGCCAGAGTCAAAATTAACTTCGGCGTTGAGATTGGTTTTCTGGAAGTGATTTTACAATCGAGACATTTCTCAGCTCAAAGTGCTTACAAAGGAGAGAATCCTCTTCCGGTTCAAGCCCCCCGCTCCACTGGAAGAGAATCACAGCAAAACGTCAAGACGGTCAAGTATAGATGGCCAGATTTTTTTTTTTTTAATTCAATTGGACGAAGATAGCTAGATGACAAAATGGAAAAGGCGGCCCATTTGGTTATTCAGGCTTTCCCTGTAGAGGAAATCGTTTGCCCAGAAAGTAAAACTAATGGGTCCTTAGTTTTTGTTCGGGCAAGATATGCCAACTTTTCGGCCCATGAACGAAGATGTGCTCATGAATCCTTAGTATACTATCATCATTATTATTATTTCTTAAATTTTAGCCACACGCTCGTCAGGCTTCCTCAAGGGAAGGGCTCCCCAAAACACACATCCAGGATCCAAGACCGGATTGTGGAGCCATAGCATGCCAGCAAGCCCACTTCGGTAGTTCGGATGCCACGTGTCCCGGTCCACTCTCACATCAGATATTTTTTGCCACTTTTTTATTTAAAATTAGTTAAAAATAATAAAAAGGTTAGAAATATAATTTTGTTTTCAAATATAATCTTATAGTAAATGAGAAAAAAGATAAAAGAGAACATATGGAAAAATGTGATAAAAGAGTATGACGAAGGAAAAAGAATAAATAATTAAAGACAAAATTTAAAAAATGCATTAAATATTTACACAAATTTTAAATTAAAGCTTATAAAATGAACCACACCTTTTCTCTACATTTGAAGCTTATAAATAATAGGAGGAATAATATGAATTGAGAATTTGTCTTTTAGCCATAGATATGATTAGATTAGAAAAAAGATAAATAATCTGCCACGTCTCCCGGTTCATGGCTTCTTTTGTTCTGAGAAAAACTATTATTCACAAGGCATATAAAATATCAATATTGTAATCTGTTGGCCAAAAAATAAACATTGTGATTTATATTGAGATTTGTGCCTGACCTGATCTATTTATTGTTACCATTAATACTATATATCCCTCTCTCACCATTAAAATTTCCCTAGAAAATTTATTTCTTGGCGGAAAAATTAAAAATTTATTTGATGGGAAACAAATCTTTTACCGGAAACTATTTATCGGATACACAGAACAGTTATTCAAGATTTTTGGGCTTGAAAACAAAAGTGTAGGAGATAAAATAAAGTAAGGTTGACTGGTTGACTGCTAGTGCATGTGCCCCTGCACGCATGGATCTCGACTCCAACTGACAAAAGTACTAATCAATTTGCGTAATGGACGCTAGGCCTTATCAGTAACATTGTCTCCGCCCCCGCGCTTCTTCTGCTGGGACAGTAATTTTGCAAACCTACGCCAGAGCATTAACAGATGATTAGCAAGGCCGTGACAAGTACAATTCAACAAATTTGTACAATTTTTCCAAGCGCACCTTTCCAGAGCCTCCGCGTTGGTCTCATGGCTGCAAGGTTGATAAGTACCGGTATCCAAGTTAACCCGAGAAACAGGTTTTTTCAACAATTTCTCGCCAATTTCAACTAGCTCATTTAGATTTTTTCGTGAGGCTCCATCGAGAGAAGATGTTTTTCCATGCAACGTATCATCCTGCAATCACACAGCAGACCGTTCAAGTGGTCAATTCACTGTCTACGTACGAGAGAATAACTGATCGGTTCACGAATAGGAAATTGCATACACAAGAGGACCTGAATTCGGAGGTAAGTTTCCTGGGAGGAGAGGGCTTCGAAAACAATAGAGAGATGCAAGTGCACCATATCGGCACCAGCCTGATTGAAGACGTCAACCAGAGGGGTAGAACCATTGCTGGCCAACCATCCCAAGATGCCCCACTTAGCTGCTTCATGCGCACTGTACTTGGGAGTTTTTGGGTTCCCGGTTCCTAAAGATATCACCAAGAATCGGTCATATTCCAAAGGTTTTATCGGAACGAAGTCAGGGCTACCTTCTATGATTTCCTTGGTCACTTCGCCAATGGCAACCAGTGCCTGCAATTACCCACCATGGATAGTAATAATTACGCTGATTTCCATTTTCCAGTGAGATCGCTCGACGGTGCATTTATATCGAAATTGAGTTTTGCCATGCGTACCGGATTATTTGCCGCAACCCCTCCGTCAATGAGATTAAACTCTCTCGTCACTTTGCCGTTGACGTCCTTTGTTTGGAAATAATGAGCCGGGAGATAGGTCGGAGCCGCTGAAGTTGCAATGCATATATCCGAGAGCATGGCGTTTAAGCTTGGGTTTTGCTTCACCTGGGTTTAAGCAGGCGAGATCATTCTTGAATTTAGATATCGAATTTAGATATCGGCTTCATTTTCAGATAGAAAAGGTATAAAAAGAAGAAGGAAAACGTATGCAGGGCAGGGAGCACATGCTGCCCAATCAGGTGACGAAGATGCTAACCTGAAAACTAGAAAAGATGGTTGGCTGAAGGTTCTTGATGTCAAAGGTTGGGATCACAACATTTGTTAGTGTCTGGTCCAGTTTCTTGTCACCTAGTTTTTCCTCAACTAGGCGATGTAGATACTTGCCGTCGTACTTTGGTCCCCACAGGGCACGCAAAAATTTACATCTGTTTGCCCCACACACACACACACATGAATGTTATATTGCTTGGTGATCAGATTCATGAACATATTTGGAAAGGCAAAAGGAAGCGCGCGCTTAATTAATGGTGAATCTGTGTCTTATATTGAGGTTTACCTGTTCTGTGGGAAGATTTTCGGGCAATTGTCAAGGTAAAACTTGTTGATATCTCTGGCTGCAAATAAAGGTCTTTTCTTTTCATCTGGTGCAGTTAACATGGCAGTCATCAAGCCGCCTGTGCTTGTTCCTGCAATCACATCAAAATAGTGTGCCAGTCTTGCATCTCCGCCATCCAATTTCTGCACCGTACATATATAAACAATGAAACAACCATGCAGTGATATATACTTGCAAAAGCCAATTGATAGATGAAAGAATTAGAGTGGTGGCAATCTAAGTATGAAGCAGTCAAATGTTTTCTCGAGACTCTTGACATGTGCTAAGGTCACAGTTGTGTAGTGAGCTTAATTATGTGAAATAATTAATGAAAAATTGACATGCACGTTTTCTACTCCTCCAACTTTTCACTCACACAACCTATTGTGCAGATGCGGGGAATGATATGCCGAGGCGGAGCATTGTGGTGGAAGCTAAGAAGCTACCTGAAGCTGGGATTCAAGGTAAGCAAGTATAACACCCGGAATGATTCCCCTTACGCCGCCTCCATCGATGCTAAGCACGGTGATTAGTCTGTTCTTTCCTAATTCCATCGTGCTTCAAATATGATATTGCAGACGATATAATGAACTTTGAAGGCAAAGCTGAAGGAATCCGGAATCTTATAGTATTTAATTGGATATGCTCCTATGTGTATGTCTGTGTGTGTGTGTGTGTGTGTGTATCAGTTCTGATTGCTTTTGTACAGAAGTCTGACCTGGTTCCAAATTAAGGATGTCTTTTCATTGGCTGTCCATGGAATTATAGCGGTTGTGTGGTCTTAACAAGTTAGAATTAATTGCAGCAGGTTTGAAGATTAAAACAACGAAATGCGAAACCATGCAAATCATGCCAATTGCGCGCATGCCTTGTCACCGAGAACACAGGTATGAACATGGGATATCCCACACTGCATTTATATCTTGAAAGACACTTCTGTCCGCTTGGCGTCCGCCATCCACTAATTTGTTGCGTTGAACATTCAAACCCGCGTTTAGTTATACGCACTAATACAATTGTAAAGATTATAAAAACGTGAATAATTTAGTTTTTGGATGACAGTTGTTGTCCATTAATTCTGTGTACAGAATGAAAAATAACGTAGGATAGTTGGTTGAATAATAATTACAAATAAATAAAAGAAGTGATGTTACAACTTTTATTTCTTCCAGTATAACTTCATTCTGTTCTGTAACCAATTAAACTTCTCTGTTTTTTTTTTAACCTGGCTTTTGCAACCAATTAAGCAAGACCTTGACAAGTTGCATATACAGCAGAAAAATAGATGCAGAGTACGCTAACCTATTTATACAATAAAAGTGTAAGGGGAGCATATTTTATGCTCATCGTAAAGATGAGCATAGATAGAGAGTGCTCATCTCAATTTAGACCATTTAATAGTTTTATATTTTAAATAATTTTTATTTTAATTGATATAAAATTTAAAATAAATATAGTTAATCTTATAATTGACACTTCTTAAAAAAATTATTATTAAAAAATATAATTTTAAATATGAAATCATATTTTGAACGGTCCATATTTTATTATAGTGATGTGATGAGTCCCTATCAAGGCCCTGCGTAATTTAAAAACTTGAGTAAGAGACAACATTGAAGCCGCACTGCCCAGCCTCTGTGAAGTAAAGCTTTCACTACAAGGGAAGGAAGAAAAGCAGCTGATACTAATTAAATTCACCAAGAAGGAATAAGGTGGATATATCAACCATGATATTTGTTTGCGCAAATTGTCTGAGTGTTTCGACACGACAAGAAAACAAGAAGAAAGTACAGGAGAATGCAGCGAGAGAATCGTCTTCCGCCCGGAGAGTTACACGTTTATTAATGAACGAGACAATACATATCCACCACGAAGACCAATGGGATCATTATCTTCTTTAACCGTATTTCTAGGAAGACTAATAAATGTGCAGACTGGTATGGTCACCAAGCACATCAATAAAACCCGAATTTTAGGATCCCTAATTATCCCTCCATAGGCTATAAGGACTTTTTGTCTAGTAATATGATTTAATCTTAGCTTTTTACTTGCATGGTTTTGAGTTTTGACCGTGACCTTATAATTTTTTTTAAAAAAAAAAACAGAGAGAGAGACCGGTCAGTAGCGAGAAAATGTAATTCTTTGTTAATTCTCCACAGCTCAAGAGAAAAAAGATGTGAAAGCCCGTATCAATTTCCGCCATAATTTAACTATACATACTTAATTATGAGAAGATGTCTATTGCCAAGTTAGATTTGTGGAAAATTTTAGCGGAGGGTATTTTTATCGCTTATTCGTCGTTATTTTATCCTGATTAATTTGCTGTGAAATATAAACTCTTTTAGTTAAAGAATTGTTTCTTGCTCAAAAAATTTAAAAAAAAATAATTGTTTCCTCTTTGAGCTAGGAGATGATGGAACATTTTTTATCATCCGTTCGTCGTCAAAATTTTTTATTTATTTAATCTTTGCATAAAAGAAAAAGAAATGTTAAGAGTAATTAATTATTTGAGCTACTAATTAACTTAGGTTCCGAGGGTATAAGAAATACATTCCGCCTCATATAATAATTAAGGAGTTTTTCACTTGAGCTAATAATTAAATAATTCAGGAGAAAAACAAAGCCATGAAATTCCCTAATTTTACTTATCAATCATAGATTAATTAGAATCTGAACACAAACTGCTAGATGGGAACAGTATCAAACTGTGCGATGGCGGCGCTGAGCTAGGCCTCGTTGGTATGCGGAGATCTCATTCCTCGGAGTCTCCTCTCATGGGAAAGTGACTTCGCAAACCTGAGGGATTCATCAAAACCACAACTTAGTGAAGTCTGATGAGTTGCAATACACACACACACACACACACACACACATATGAAGCCCTTAATTGACCCGCTCGCACACGTTATTATTAGTAATTTGCCTTACCTAACAAGAGCTTCCTCATTGGTCTCCCCGTTCCCTGCTGGCTCAGACTCACCAGTTTCTAAGTTCACCCTAGAGACAGGTTTCTTCAACAGCCTTTCCCCAATTTGTTCCAGCTTCTGCAAGTTCTCTTTTGTGGCAATATCAACCGAAGACTCCGTACCCGTCAGTGTATCATCCTGCATATATGGTTGCCTTCAAAGAATTTAATTGGATAGTCTGATTTTATTATCAATTTATTCTTGTTAATTTTGCTATATAGTACTAAATCCATCCCATCCTTAATATAAGATTTAATTTAAACTACAAACTGAATCGTATATTAAGTACTGAAGTTAGTATCTATGTTTTTGCTAAAATTAGAATTTAAATGACCTGTATTCGGAGGTAACGATCTTCACATTGGAGCGCTTGAGTGATAGTAGCTACATGGAAATCAACCATATCAGCACTTGACTGAGTGAACACATCCACCAAAGGAGTAGAGCCTCCATGGGATAGCCAACCCAGTAGGCCCCATTTGGCTGCTAGCTGTGCAGTGAATCTTTTCTCATTCTTGGGCGTGCCCGTCCCTAGTGAGATTATTAGGAAGCGCCTAAATTCCAAAGGCTTTATTGGGTAGAAGTCAGGATTATCCTCCATTATCTCTTTCGTTATTTGGTTGATAGCCACGAGTGTCTGGGCCCAAAAGAAGCAAGCAACTGCCCAATTAGTCCCCATATAAATAATAAATAATCCACACAAAAAAAACTGAATGAGAATCACTTTGAGGGATATTGATTAATGCGTTATACGGGATTATTTGCAGTTACGCCACCATCAATGAGGTTGAATTCAAGTTCTTTGCCAGTGGAGTCTTGGTTCATGAAGTGGTGGGCAGGAAGGTACGTAGGCGCCGCCGATGTGCCGATGCATATGTCAGCGAGTCTTGCGTTCAAGCAAGGGCACCTGTTAATCTGTATCCATTGTTTGAAATCTTGTTAGCAGCACTTGATTATTAACTTTTCAGATATTCTACTTTTCATGTAAATTGAAGTTTTCCCCTATGACTTTTGAAGATTGCGAACCCGAAAAGCCCGAGAATCCCAGGTGGTGTTGATCAAATAAATATCTCGATCCAGCTAGAATTTGCGGGTGAACAGGGATGCATGGCTCATAGCAATCACCAAAGGTGGAAATACGGCCGGGCTCCGAAAGACTGGCAGGCTAGGCCGGCCTTACAGGACTAGGACTTTCAGCCCGTTTAAGAAAAAAAAATACTATTTTTCATATTTTTCGTATTTTTTATTAAAAAAAATAAACCAATAAAATTATTAATAAAAGATATAAATATGAATAAAATTAAGTCACAAATACAAAATATTATTATATATAAATTTTACTTTTAAATTTTACAGTCTAGTTATTATTTTACTTTAGTTTGAGAAACATTATTGTTAAAACTCATAAATTTCTAATTCAAATTATAAAATCACAAGTTATATAAGTATAAAAACACTCTCTTATCAAATATATATAGTTTAAAAATATCAACACATATAATATAAATCAAATCATTATTAAAGTGCAAAGTAACTCATTTTTTAAAAATTTAATTGGACAAATTATTGTTTAAAACTAAATAAATCAGACCATTTCATGAAATTTAATTTTAAAATGATAATAATAACTAAATATTTGAAATATCATTAATAATATAAAAAACTAATAATATTAAAATTACATAAAAATTTAAAAAAAAATTATAAAAAGACTTAAACGGATTGGCCCTCACCCCTACAAGATCATCCTATAGGATCTATTTCCTATTTAAGGAAAAAAAATTTCAAACCCATCCCTTATAATTTTTGAATCTAAACGGCCTAAAGACTCGACCTGTTTTTTTAGCTCCAGTAATAACAACCATTATGGCTTTGGAAAATTTTCAGCTGCCCAAGTCAAGGTCGTCGCAGCTAGCAGGGGACCATGACCTTTGCAATTATTAAATTACCCCTACAGGTACGTCGAAGGAAAAAAGTCTCTTGGTCTCACCAACTTTGGGGATAAAGGCAGACAGACAGACAGACCTGATAAGACGAAAAAATGGTTGGCTGCAGGTTCTTGATATCGAAGGTGGGGATGACAACGTGGGTGAGCGTCTGGCGCAAAAGAGTTTTCCCCAGCTTCTCTCCAATGATCCAGTGAAGATATTTTCCATCGTATTTGGGTCCTCCCAATGATCTGATCACTTTTGCTACCACCGTCGCACGAAGCCCTCTGCCCAATTCATCAATTCGAATTTCAATCGATTTCACGGTTATTATATGAGCCAAAAATACCTTAAACAGGAGCATATCAATAATAATATAAGATGAGTTAACTAATTTAGAAAAATAAAAAATATTAATTATTTTAAACTATTTATATTTATTGTTTTTTTAAAACTAATTTACCTCATTTATAAATTGATATGCAATCTAATAATCTTCAAAAGTATTTTAGAGAAATTATGTAACATATGCTATTGTCAAGTAATTTAATAACCTCTTTATATCTTCAAATTACTAAGTTAAATTTTATATTGACCACTTGATGTAGTAGTTATCCATACCTATGTTGAGGGAAAATTTTTGGGCAATGCTCCAGATAAAAGGGTTTGATATCTTTAGCAGCAAAGACTGGGCGATTGTTTTCATTTGGAGCAGTTAACATGGCCGTTACAAGACCGCCGGTGCTTGTTCCTGCGATGACATCGAAATAGTCTGCAAGTCTTGCATCCTCTCCATCCAGCTCCTGTACGGAGGTCAATATCGACCTCAGGTGAATATATGAGAGTTTGAAAGGTTGTGTGGAACTACCTTTTATTCTTAATATAAAAACTAGTTCACTAATTTGAATAAATTAAAAAAATTAGTTTAATTAGTTATTTATACTAAATAGATATTGTCTTTTAAAATATCTTTTTTAATCAAGTGTGTATTAATTAAAACTACCATTATTATAAAGACTAACTTAAAACAAATAAATAAATATGAGAAACAAAGTAGATCAGAATTTTATATTTAGGATCAAAATAAAAGTTAAACAAAATTTTATATTAAGTACAGAAAAAAACTAGCAAAGACTCAAATCCTTTAAAGTGATGCAAAAAAAGTCACATAGGCATATGAGAGGTTTCATGCTTCTGTGGAGAACTAAAAGCGGTGCTTGCATGTACGTACCTGGAGTTTAGATTCGAGGAAAGCAAGAATAGTGGCAGGGATTATACCCCTAATGCCACCACCATCGATGCTCAGGATGGTTACCAAGTCCCCATAAGATGGGGGCTGGATTTGTTCAACGGATGACTTTGCTCTTTCCATTGAAATACAATGCTACAGATCACTATATCAAAGTGAATAAATGAAGAATAACCGCAAGGAAAAGTGGAAAGGAAGCTCCGGTTTCTGGTTATGATGTTTACAATCCTCGATGAGACCAAGGTGATATTTATGGAGAGCGACCCCTGTGCAAGCTGGACTACTGGAAATGATAAGAAGCTAAGGGAGACGGAGTCAGCGGCTAAAGATTCACGTTGTGCTGCCCTAATTTTCCTAGTTGACTCAACTTCTTCGATAAAGTTAAAAAGCATTCTGGTTCTGAGCTGCCAACTTCACGCGCTTTCATTCTTGTCCAACTCACGCTCCTCGCTACCACGGGAACAGTCCTCAAGATTGAGAGGGGCAAAGGGCCATACGCGCGGCCGCGGACCTGTGAATCCTTCGCGACTTCATTTGTCTTCCAACAAGCAGCCACAGTATTTTTATTTCTTGCCTCGTGAGCCATAAGTTTCCCCTCGAGTTGATATATGTGAAGTTACATGCTACCCAACTATAATTGAATACTAATTTTATTTCTTGCCCCGAGGTTTAATAGGCCAGCACAATATGCACTCTTGCAATTATAACTGTTGTGTAGAAATTATTACTTTATTTTTATTACCTAAGTGAATTTGAGAAAGATAAAACTTTCCCTTAGTTGAAGTCTCTCAGAAATTTTTCACGAGATTGTCGAGTCCATTTCAAGGGAACGTACCCAGCTCATTCAAATGTTTATAAATAAGTTTCATGGGAAAGGCTTTAAACATATATCATAATTTATGCTTTTATTGAGAGGCAATCAGTTAAGTACGTATATATAAGTCCAACAGGATGAAGGAGAAATACATTCTTGTACCTTCTTCAACAGAATTACAATTGACAGGGAAATCAAATAAAGAATGAATCAAGTTGACTGAGTATATTACAGAACAAAATGAGAAGTAACATGTCAAATAATCTGGCGGGGACTAAAGCCCGTGCCGAAACTATATAGACAAGCTATTAGGCCTTGTTGCTGCTGCCTTGTTGGTATGTGGAGATTTCATTTCCCGCAATCTTCTTTCTTGGGAAAGTATTTTGGCAAATCTGCAAAAGATATCCAAACAATTCACAAAGATTTTCAATTATTTAATCTAAGTAAATTCAATTATTTGAGTACCTTGCAATATAATAGATTCTAGAAGGATAGATCTAAGATATATTATATTATATTATACCTTTTAAGGGCATCCTCATTGGTCCCTCCATTTTCGACGGGTTCGCACAGACCCGTCTCTAAATTGACTCTGGAAACTGGTTTCTTCAACAGCTCTCGGCCAGTTTGGCACAATTTTTCCAGATTCTCTTTCGTAGAAACATCAACCGAAGAAACTGTACCAATCAATGTGTCATCCTGCATTTTGCCGCCACCAGCAAGGACTAATTAAATTTTTTGTCTCGGAGCATGTAAATATATATCTTAAATCTTGTCCTCCCATTAATTAATGCATAGACAGGCAATATTTACATATAGTAATATAGAAGGGAGATATATATACCTGTATCCGAAGGTATTGATCCTGTGAGTGAAGGGCTTGGGTAACGGTTGCTAAATGGAAATCGACGAGATCAGCACTGGATTGGGAAAACACGTCAATCAAAGGAGTAGAACCACCGTGGGTTAACCAATCCAATATTCCCCACTTGGCAGCCATGTTTGCATTGAATTTTTGCTCATTCTTTGCCGTGCCCGTGCCTATTGAGATTATAAGGAAGCGACCATAATCCATGGGCCTGATGGAGAAGAAGTCAGGATTTTCATTGATGACCTGCTGCGTGACTTGGTTCAAGGCGACTAAAGTCTGCATCATTAAAGAATCAAAAGTTAATTACGGACTCATCTAATATAAATGTATATCACATTAAAATCAATAATTTATATTAGTGGGAGAAGAACAGTTTCACGTTGTGCGTGAAGATCAACTTATACAACATACGGGATTATTTGCAGAAACACCGCCATCAATCAGGTTGAATTCACGGACGTTGCCTTGGCCATCTTGGTTCTTGAAGTGGTAGCCAGGAAGATAGGTAGGTGCAGCGGAGGTGCCGATGCATATGTCAGAGAGTCGAGCATCCAAACAAGTGGATTTCTTGATCTGATAAGATGAGAATATGATTGGCTGCATCGCCTTTATGTCAAAGGTGGGGATGACGACGTTGGTGAGTGTCTCGTGCAACCGAGTCTCTCCCAACTTCTGTCTCACTACTTGATGAAGGTATTCGCCATCGTACTTGGGACCAGCCATTGATCTGAACAACTTTCCTATCGCTCCAAATGAGAATCTGCAAATTCATTCGTAAGTACAGGTTAGAAATCAGGATCGGATCTCTTCGGTTTAAGTTTCATTAATTTGAACTAATGAAAAGAAAAATCATAGTTTCATATATACTTTTGTGGGAATATGCTTGGACAGTGCTCCAGGTAAAAGGGCTTGATATCCTTGGCAGCAAAGAGTGGTCGCTTCTCTTCGTCGGGAGCAGTAAGCATGGCGGTTACGAGACCTCCCGTGCTGGTTCCTGCAATCACGTCAAAGTAGTCCGCGAGCCTTGCTTCTTCACCATCCAGTTCCTGCATGGCCGTCCAAATAAAATTAAATTTATGTCACAAATACAAAAGCTGCTGTACTCCGAATAGTATATGATATATATTCCCTCTAATTAATTAAAGACCGATGCAGGAGACGCCACAGAAAACTTGTGCGTTCCTAGTGTGTGTGCGTGTGTAGAATCTGTAGATTTATACCTGGAGTTGAGATTCGAGGAATTCGAGAATGGTGGCGGGAATGATGCCCCTAATACCACCTCCATCGATGCTGAGAATGGTGATTAGGTTTCCATAGGTTGGGGCTTGAATTTGAAGAAGGGATGACTTTGTTCTCTCCATAGTTTAATGGATCTCTAGGTGCGTGTTTATATGGAAATTAAGGAATGCTAAAGAAAATATGGAATTGAAGTTATAGCAGATAGATAGTAAACTTTGGGATAGTAAACTTTTGGGCAAGGGCGCAAGGCGAGTGCCGAGAAAGGAGTTATATATGGCAGATTTCAGATTTTGGTTGTTTGATGAATTGCTGTGCTCAACGTGCTATTTATAGTGGGATATGTGATATTGGAGTCAGGAAGAGGAATGTTCACGGAAATGCCGATGATGATGAGAATCGGAATGGTAAAAGTACGGAATGAGTCCAATTTGTTGCTGAGTCCATGAGAATATAATCATGAGACACTCATCCACATCGTTGAATATTCTCCGCCTAACATTGTTTGTTTTAATATCCCAAGTCAGATCCATCCCCGTTTCCTGGAGACCCGATGAACGACTATTATGAACAGTCGCTTCATCTATGAGACCAGATCAGTGATTGAGGATGGCCATCGATTAGTCTTCTCTGAAGACCAGACCGGGTTCTAGTTAAGCATACGTGAACTCGTCCCAGATGTTACCCACGCGTGATTGCGTTGACAAGTCTTCTATAAACCCTTCAATTTGTGGTCTCATCTTAATTTGTTCGTTTGGGATGCATGCACTCCCACTGGTTTAATGCTTGCCCATTATTCTAACGTCCCATGACATATTACCTGCTGAACAAGATACTCGTAATTACCTGTTGAACAAGACACTCGTAATTACCTGTTCAAAAATGTAAAGCAACGTATACATTCATGCACATTACTATATTTGTGTGCGTGCGTGCGTGCGTGTGTTTTCTCCCCCGATATAATATACGCACACACCCCACGTGCTTGTAATTCATTAATATATCAATCCGCTATTAATGGGACATCCTGGGTGGTCATATATTTTGTTCTCTGAGCGGGTGGCGGCGAGCGGGTGGGTCGCTGGGAATAATTAATAAGCCCGATATGACAATTACGACTGCCCCACTCGACAAGTTTTTCTGCCACGCCCACTCAAACGAGCTTGCATTTATTATTTATATATACGGACCACAAAAGACGAGAGAATGAAAAGCTACCGTAAATCAGAGAGAGCGAGCATGTTTATTAAAATTTAATAATTTTTTATTTTATTTTATTTAATATACAATATACCTTATGAAACGAAGTAAAGTACAATAATAAATTAAAGATAAAATTATACATTTATATGATAAATTTTTACTCTGTCCTATAAATAGGACTAAAAATTTTCTTCTTTTCTACCTTATAAATAAAATAAGAAAAGTATTTTGTTAACTTGTCCCTTGTCTTTTTTAAAATAATTGTAGCTTGATGTATGAAATATTCTAATAATATTTTAAATTTACAATTTCAAAATCACGGATAGTAACGTAAAAATGATAATTTTATAAATTAAAATACAAATAATAATTTCAATGAATATACACAATTTAATTTTTAAAATGATATATATGCTTAAACATCATTTTTCATAAAAATATTAGCATTTTTTATTTTGTTTTTGCTTTCCTGTAGGATCTCCATCCCCATTCACCTGTCTTCGTAGGAAGAAACAACATATATCGACGCGAAAATAACACACACACACATATTACTATGTAAGATTTCCATTCCCCATTTACCTGTCTCCACTTGATTAATATCATACTATTTAAAATTTTAATTACTTTCGTGTAATGCCCTCCATTTATTAGGTGGTTATTGAAAATAAATAATCTAATTATACTTTAAAATCTGGAACGGGAAATAGACTTGGCAACAAACTAATTTAATTTCATGGTATATATGCGACGTCTTTATTTGGACGTACACGTCTGGTGACAGGCATGTAGGTCATCACTTGTTTTTTTTCGTTTGGGGGACCAAAATCGCTTGTATTAACATGTCCCATACTTAAATAATTAAATTCAAGCACATGATGGCATGAATAAACCGGCAAGAAGCAAAGGAAAGGATTAGCGTATTATAAGATGGAATTTCAGTGATTTGTTAGGCTGTGGATGTCACGTACGTCCTCTCATTCATAATATAAGATGTTT